CCCACAAGAGTGTCCCACAAGAGTGTCCCACAAGAGTGTCCCACAAGAGTGTCCCGCAACAGTGTCCCACAAGAGTGTCCCACAAGAGTGTCCCACAAGAGCTTCCTACAAGAGTGTCCCACAAGAGTGTCCTACAGGAGTATCCCACAAGAGTGTCCTACAAGAGTGTCCCACAAGAGTGTCCCGCAACAGTGTCCCGCAAGAGTGTCTCACAAGAGTGTCCCTTAAGAGTGTCCCACAAGAGCGTCCCGCAACAGTGTCCCACAAGAGTGTCTTACAAGAGTGTCCCACAAGAGCTTCCTACAAGAGTGTCCCACAAGAGTGTCCTACAGGAGTATCCCACAAGAGTGTCCTACAAGAGTGTCCCACAAGAGTTTCCTACTAGAGTGTCCCACAAGAGTGTCCCACAAGAGTGTCCCGTAAGAGTGTCCCACAAGAGTTTCCTACAAGAGTGATCCACAAGAGTGTCCCACAAGAGTGTCCTACAAGAGTGTCATTTGGACATATGTAGCTTTTCGAACGTGCTTGCGTTCGGGTTCGTGGGCTCCATCTTGTTTTTCTTGTCCTGTCCTGTCTTGTCCTGTCCTGTACTTTCCTTTCCTTTCCTTTGTTCTGTCTGTCTGTCTGCCTGCCTGTCTGTCTGTCTGTCTGTCTTTCTTTCTTTCTTTCTTTCTTTCTTTCTTTCTCTCTCTCTCTCTCTCTATATAAGCAAAAACATCACAGGCTTGTTGTGAGATGACTTTCATGGTTTATTGCAGGAGTTGATATGAATGCTGTAAAGTTCACTCACAAACAAGCCTTCCAAGGGACAAACTTCTTGCAACGCCGCGTCCACGTGTTTGAATTGGATAAGATGCCTGACTTCCTGAAGGCCCCCTCCTGCGTCACTGAACGTGAGCCCTTTCGTGGGCACAGTAGTTGCAAAAACTAACTGGGATCCGCGTTTCTGGTTGGAGCGGTTGAGCAGGCAGTCTTATACCCATCGCCCAACTTGTACAGCTCACAACAAGCGTGTCAATGGTTTTTCAATGTTATATTCAGTATATGTTAAATGTTACATAATGTTACATATTTTGCTATGTTGTCCACGCTATTTGTACAGCATGGTATTTATGTGTCTGTTTATATATAATATACATAACACTAGTACCATCTACATATTAGTATTGTTTCGAGGGGTTGGACATGTCGGATATGTTTCTGCAACTGAGGTGTGGCCTAGGATCACCCATACTGTCCATACCTTTCCTGAAGGAAGAACGAGGGTAGAAACGTGCCACAAAAAATCCACCCAGAATTGGGAGAACAGCGACCCAACATGACCGAACTACCCACTCAAACTTGCAGGGTCCCATGCTCCCCCCCCATGTTTCAGACATGACCGCGATATTTTTCGGGACCTTGTTTGTCCCTTTGTGGCAAACAATTTTGTGGTCGTTGCCTGGAGGTCTTCAAGGTGCAAGACCACATGGATGACCCTTTGACCTTGAGGCGGTACTATCAGTATTCCCATCATCCAGATTTCGTGAAGGAGAAGGCTCGGATGGCAAAGATGGCGCGGGCTGTGAGCAGGAGGATTCGGATTCTTTAGTAATTCCAAAAGGAAACTATCATGTCGGATGGAGTCTCGTCGGTTCTTGATAGTACTCCCCTGGACAAACATGGACTTGTCACAAGGCTGCAATTCAATTGATTCCACCAACGATCCTTGTGTGCACAGGGTCGTTTCGAAGCGATGTGCGCGTTTTGTGTAGGCGAAAACCGAAGAGCTGATGCATTGGGCAGCGGAGCATCGGTGCCCTCCGATGTCTGTGGGACTCCTGGCGCCCAAGGGCCCAAGGAACGCCCAAAGAGCCGGTAGGTGGAGACGTCAAATCGCCGAGTTTCTGCGTTGTCCATGAAGTCTTTCTTTGGCCATCAACTAGAAGTAAGAATGCTCCGTTCGTAGCGATGCCAGGAGCCCCTACTTAGTAGCTTCTTGTTCCTATATGATCCCATTTTGTGTCCAGATCCGGTCGGCTGTGGTCTGAAGTTTTCTAGACTGAATTTCTCAAGAAACCATCACTGGCAAACTTGTGTGGCCATTGGCAGGACTTCTTGAGCAATCCTGACCAATAGACCTCTAACTCCAAACCGATCTAACCCGAGGGATTGTGGATATATATATATATATACACAGAATTATATAGATAATCACAGAGACTCTTAATTTAAGGTCTATTTGGGTTTAACTTAACATCAGTTAACATCAGCGTAATTCCATGTTTCAAGCATCTATGAACATCCATTCGCGGCCTGGCACGGATGGACCCAGGAACAGAGCTGGTGGCCGACTCCGACATGGAGGTTCAAAAGACGGTGCCGACCGCCATGGAGACCTGGACGCAGTGAATGCAGCGGATGTAGACAGGTGAACTTGGATGGAATGTTGAACCTGACTGGTATTTGCATGTGTTTGGCTTCCTAGCATCAACAAGGCAATTGCTTCAGGGGAATAGATGATGTAAAGCTGCTACGGGGCACCATGTCTTTGCCACAGGGTCAAACATTTCTCATCATTTCACCGACCGCAAGATGGCCTAAAGTGTTTGATCCGAATCCCTTGCTAACTTGCCTCAGGACTGCCAGCGCTCTTGTACTCAGACGCCGGGCTGTGTGGCATGGACCTGGGTCCAGGACGAGGGCGACGACTTCCAGAACTGCTACAGGTCACCTGGCGCCTGAACGGCCTGGCGCCTTTTGAGAAGCATGTTTTGGGCGAAAAGCCTTTTGTCTGGTTTTTCTCAGTCGAATTCATACATGGATCCACAGAGGGCTTCTGGACAAGTGACGAAGGGGTCATCTCTTTTCCTTTCCGCATGTTCCATAGATCCAGTGCAATAGTTCGAGAGTCGGTTGGGCACCGAGGTGGTCATGACCACTTCTGCCGAAATGTGTGAATGCTACCATTTGAGGCTACCATTTAATGCTGATTGTTCCACGATTCTGGGAAACAACTAACTATACGACCAATCCTTTGTTTAACATTTAACTTTCCGCAGGGAGCCAAGGACTGCAGATTTGGGACAGTTGTGTGTGCAGTCCTTGGAGTGTTGAATTTCGGTATATATATATGGGCTGAAAAGATGGGGGTTACGCTAAATAATGATTCCAGGGGGTACGTCAATGGGCAGAATCATTTAAGTAGAATCATTTCTCTGGAATCATTTTTTGACGGGGGGGTTCATGGGGGGCGTCAACCCCCCCCCCCGAGAATCATTTTCATTAATTTTTAACTTGATGTGAATGATGTGCCAGAATCATTTTCACATGTTGCAATGTCATAATTGCATTCGCCTCAGTCTCAAGCATACAGATTTCTATTGGAGAGTCCATCAAATACAGAAAACAGTACTAAAACAGATTCTGCACCAATGCAAAAGGTGGGAACGCATATTGCTTCAATATTTCATGTTTTTCAACGTGTGCGCTTGTACCAACTGATGGCTGAGCCTCCCAAACCTATTAAGTTTTTCCATGTGGGTTCTTGCTCTGGCAAGAAAAGAAACCACCCCAATTCTGATGTCAACCCCCCCTGGAATCATTTCCACACCAGTCGTTTCCATATGAAAACACATAACTCACCACATTCTTAGACACCCAGCGGGAAAACATTGGACACCGACAACAATACATAATAATACCTATAATACCTATGGAAATAGAACGACATGGTGGAATCGTGGAACAAATTGCAATTCCCAGCTCCATTGCCCTTGCCCAGATTGGGTATGGGAGTTTCCTCTAAACACCTCACCTTCCAGAGTGCAGCCCCTCCAAGATTTTACCCTTACACCCCATTCTGATGTCAACCCCCCCTGGAATCATTTCCACACACCTGTCATTTCCACATTTCTCATCACATTACCATTCCAGGCACCACTACCCATGAAAGATCCCATGTCCATTTCCCAGACTGGGCATTCTTGGATATTCTTGGGGTTCCTGTAAAAACATCAAAAAACATCTAAAGATCTACCACCACTCCCCTACCCTCAAAGAACATCAAAAAAAAACACCCCAATTCTGATGTCAACCCCCCCTGGAATCATTTCCACACCAGGCATTTCCATATAAAATCACATAACTCACCACATTCTTAGACACCCAGTGGGAAAACATTGGACACCGACAATAATACATAATAATACCTAAACATAATACCAATAATACTTTGGGTACAGAGTTCAGATGTCAGGAAATTTCTGCAGATTTCAGGAAATGATCCTGACCGTGGATGACTGTCAGAATCAATATCACCAACCCCCCTCACACCCCCCCAGAATCATTTAAAATGATTCCTGGGGGTCTTGAGGTGGGCCCCCTTTAACGTAAGGGCCATCTGAAAAGGATCTGAATGGAACCATGAGGAACCTGACATGCTGTGGTGCGATTGTTTCTTCACCAAGGTCCTGTTTTACGGTGCCATGTTCAAACCTTGGACCTTTGGGGGGTTCTATTATAGTGCGAGAGAACAGAAGAGTGCAAAGGATTCCAAGCACAAGCAGGAGGGGCTCACTCGTGGACAGAACCACAGATGCGTGCAGCCATTTTTGGTTGCAGTGTGGAGTGTGCTGTGTCCTGATCACTACTTTCCTGTTGATGTATGGTTGGTGCATTCAAACACACTAAAGGTGAAATTCCCCTGGTTTTCGGACCAAAACTATAGATGCCCTGATCTCTCTATGTTGGAGACCTCTCCATGTTTGTTGATGGCGACCTTGCTCCATCCCCTGACAACCGGTGAAAGCCACTGGGTCTCTCCCCCTAGCGAGACCACCCACCCGTTTTCGCTCCTTTGCTGAGACGCCGAGGCGAGAAAGCCTGCAACGTTTTTGGTCTCCAGAACCCAACCACAAGGAGCGACACGAATGAAAGCGGACCATCTCTTTGTGCAAACCGGGGCCTCACTGGGGCGGTTTTGAATGGTTTTGACACATCGTGTCGTTGCCGTTCCATAACAATTTGCTTCTTTCTTTGGACTTTTGCCTAAAAGTTCCGCAGCTCACCCTGAAGACGGACGGATTGAAAATTGAAAGATTTGACACGGATCATCGGGGATTGTACCAAAGCAAGAGCATGGCCCCAACACCCCAAGTTACACAAAAAAAAAGAGCCATTGATTGGATGGCCCCTGCATTAGGGTTGGCGCATTTTTGTGGTAGGCAGGTCAGGGTTTGAGCATGCTTGACCCAGCTTGTTCCAGCGTGACGAGTCCTTTGGAGCAGTTTCTGGGCATCAAATTTATCAATGCACATCAATGGTATGTCTTCTGTCTTCAAGCTTTGAAAGTCATTGCATGTTCCTTTTCAACGGCCATGTTTCAACAATGACTGGACGGCAAGTGCGGAAGACAGCTGCAGGAGGGAGTGGTCAGCGGCATGCCCTGTTCTCGAGAGAAGCATGAGGCCGAGCAGTGGCCGCAGAAGGACCCGGTCTGTCCAAGACTATCAAGAAGCTACCAAAACCCGGCGAGACCCGAAGATAGAATGGAGCCGCAAATCATTGCAGATTCACCAGTTCTGTTGTCAAGGCATACCTTGACAATCGGTCGTCGAATCACAAAGCTTGCTTCTCTTACTTACTTATCTTCATATTACGTAGTAACGAAAAGCTATTAGAAACAAGTGCCACGCTAGTAGTAACAAGTGCCTTACTAGTAGTAACAAACAGCTATTAGAAAGATTCTTCTTGGATGTTCATCTCTTTGGTCCGAAGAGTGCCGTCCACCCGGTGGGTTCGGATCCTAGTAGCGATGCCCTTCGCTCCTAGTAGCATCCTTGTTCCTAGTAGCGATGCCAGGAGCCCCGTTCGTAGCGTTCCAATTCCAGGAGATGGATTTCTTTCGTCTTCCAAAGCCGCCCAAGTATCCTCCTCCGCGGCCCATTGGTGGTACGCGGCTTCTATGCATCGCGGTATGCCTCCCTTTCACCAAGGACCGAGCTTTTTCACGGATACCGGTGTCAAAACTGGTGTGGCTCTAGTAAACCTAGTGGTCCAATCTGGGAGGTGTAACATGGATTTTTGGAAGTGATGTTGCACACCTGTTTGCACATCTCAACTTGGAGATTGCAAGTGCTTGAAGGTCGGTATGTGTTCAGCTGTAACATGAAACAGGGTCGAGTAGAGGAATTGTGTCACTGTAAATTATATGCGACGCCACATAAGAGTCACTGCGTTAATTATCTTGGATACTTGCTGCTTGCTTAAAGGTTCTTTTTTTTTTCTGTAAATCAACGGAATTTGGAGTTCTCCCATCAGAAAGGTAATGGGAAGCTTGTGTATTGCCATGAGCTACAGTCTCTTCATCGCCGCTGCTTTGAAGCCATCTCTAGGGGACAACAGGTGGAGGGACTGCTGCTTGTACATTGTGGAAACGGGTTGATCTCAAAAAAACACGGCCAAGAGGTGTTCACGTCGCTTTTGGCGCTCCGCCTTTGCCATATCTCAGATATCCAGAGACCGGGTTGGTGGTGAAACGCTTCATTCCTGTGATAAACGAGTTGCCCAACTTCATGCCAAGCGCCCATCACAGTAGCACAGTGAAAGTGACTAGAAGTGGGCATTTCTGGATGAAAGTCCCCTTTGCTTGGTGAACCTGGTAAGACACCAAGAGCTTTACGTTTGTTTGACATTTGCATTTGTTGGAGAGTTCTGCACCCTGCAGGAGCAAGATCTGTTGATCATGCAGCCTCTTGGCTGGGGTGATCCTGAGATGGACATGTTTAAGGACTCCGCACGTTTCAATACCAGAAAGTAAGGGAACTACCAAGGATTGTTCAACCAACATCTCACTCCTTGGAAGAACTATTTTCGGCTAGTAACAAGTGCATCGCTACTAGTTACAAGGACATCGGCATTTCTACTAATTAGTAGCTTCTTGTTACTAGTAGTAATGCCCTTGTTACTAGTAGCGATGCATTTGTTACTAGTAGTACTCTCACTCCTTGGAAGAACTAATTTCAACCATCACTCAGCAAACCGAAGGTCACCCCAGCAAACCGTACCGAGGGTTTACCGGATTTTGGTAACATAGAAACAATATATTATATATATACATACACTTTCACATACATGCTGACAAGTATGCTGACAGATTCTATATTCATGCGGAGGTAGAAAAATCATTGGACCATCCAACAATTGACCATACTTGAAATACCCTTAAAAAGCTTGTAGTTTGTCCAAATTGATTGATGAATGACAAAATTGATTGTTTGATCTAAAGGGTGCGGTCTTGCCTGGTAAAAAGCAGTCCAACCTCTCCATCGTCCATGTCCCAACCACTCCTTCGGTCGCCTTCAGTGGGGAGCCCCAGATGTTCAACGAAGTAGGTCCCTTCGCTTGTCACCAAGTTGGGGTGATGTCCAAAAGTACCACTACTCGGACCTACTGTATCGGTTTGGATGACTAGTTTAGGAGTTCTTCTTCTTTTTCGAGGACGAAGCATTGTTCTTTGCTTGTATCTAAGAAGTATTCCCCTCACGCAGTGGCAGTCCCAGTACAGTATGTCCCAGTCATACCCCACCCAGTAGCCTGCTACCAGCGCCATACAACCGGTAGGATGCTTTCCTCACCACCGTCACAGTCAACAAGCATCCGACGAACCAGCTATCCCTATGGCTTATTTATGATCAGAATTCATACGGAGATGGCACAGTCAAGTATCATTTGCTCACATCCATTCCATTCGCTGTGACAGTCGCGCAAAAGCCAGGTATCACTATGGTATTGGCATATTTGCCTGTGACACCTTCGCCATCTACAGTTCTGTCTCCATGGAACTGGCCCCTGGCGTGCTCACACGCAGAGTCACCAGCCGCATGGCGACCAATGTGGAGCCGGCTTTGGGTTGATGGGAGTGCTGGGGCGCAGGTCCGCGCCATCTCAGGTTCAAGGGAAAACATGGAAAAACAACACCTTTGGGTTGATGGCTCATCATTGCTCCTGTATTCCAAAACCGTATTTCTTTTTGTTCCTCTCACCAATGCACTGATTTGGATGGAGGTGGAAAGCCCTTTGACCCGGGGGGAATGGATTTATCGATTTCCCTTGGATCATGATGTGAGTTCCGAATGGCAGCACTGAAGGTCAGAAAAACACTGGAGAAACACACCAGCTTGGGAGTTTGAAGAGCTATGCCTGTCCTGTGCCTGCCGTTCACTTCAGGCACTTTGCTGGGTGAACTTGGTGGGTCCTTCCTCACAGCGTCTTGGATGATCTTCGATATGTCTGATTTGAGAGTATGCCAGTCACTGTGAGGTAGTCGAGCTTGAGAATTGAAGGAGTACACCGCTGCAACGTGACAGATCATCATCCCAAGCAACATTTGGACATAAATGCACAGTGAAGCCTACGTATCTCCAGAGACAAGTTGAATAACAATATATATATATATGTGTCACAACTGCCATGCTCTTCGCTTGCCCGACAAAGGTGCTGAACTTGGGTGCCTTCATGCAGGTGTGGAAGCAGGTCGGGCCTCCTGGACTTTTCTAGCTTTCTTGCAGCATAAGAACAGCGACAACTCCCTGCAGATGGAGCTGCAACACCCGGATCCTGATCGGATTTGATTAGTACAACAACCACCTTTTTGGAGCAAACAACATGTTCTCCAATTGTCCCTTGAAAGGTTCTATTTTTTGCTGAACTTGAACAGAAGAACACGCCAAGCTATGACACAAATTGGGATTCATCCAGGATGATTTCTCCGCTCGGTTTGCATTCTGGCCCTTGGGGCTCGCACGGATGGGACATGGATGGGTATGACAACTGGACGGTTGGACGGGACAGGAGAACTCACCAAACTGGAAGAAACGACATTTGAGCTCTGCCCGTGGCGTGAGCTGCGCTGCGAGCGGCTTCAGGTGCTCTGGGACGGCGAATATTTGCACCATGACTGGATCCTCAAGGCGGGAAGTTGTGATCCAATGCTTCAACGCCTCAGACTCCGGCAAAGAAGCATGGCATAGCAGAGGCTCCAGAAGAAGACTTTCAGCGCTGGTCTCACATATCATAGATGAACAAGATAGCGACTATTGACTGTTTATTAACTATTAGCGGTGTGCTAGGCTCTCAGTTCCTCTACAACTGCCGCATTCATCACGCCAGCATGAGGAATCCCTATTCACTTTGAAGTGAAACTGAAGCTGTGTTTCTGAGTGAGAAATATACAAAGAGTCAGCGACTCTGCCTTTGGACATTCAATGAAATGTTCCTTTTGGGCAAAAGAATGGTTTTTGCATTCTAACAAGCTTTGATGGCCATGCATCAGTCAAGATGGTTTTATTAGGACGTCAAGCTCCAACTGACCCAAAGCCATTGGCAAGTGACTGTTGGTCTGGGACATCCCAGGTGGATCCGGATACCGTTTTCCTGGTAAACCGCCTCCGCCCCATCCTGGCCAACTACAATGAAGAGATGGGACCGTGCCTGGGAGTCAGTGGAGAGAGGCTATTTCACAGGGTTGGTGTCAAGCCACAGATGGATAGAAGGAAGAAAGCACAGACAGACGGATGGATGGATGGATAGGAGACAAACAAAGGCAACAAATACAATCAAATACATACAAATATCAATATCCGAAGAGGGATCGATAGACACCCACGGAAAGTCCCACGGAACCAACTGGTCATTCGCCCAACTTTAGGGACCGTTGGCTAGCTCAATAGGCCTGAAGAACTCATAAATCCAACTTGGGCGCTGGACCACCTTCGGAGAGTTCGAAGGGCGCTCCTGTGCATGGCTGACGAGTATGACACGACGTGAGTCGCCAGAGGATCGTGAGGATGTCCATCACATCAAGACACGTACGACGAATCGACCTCATGACATAAGGGGATGTTCCTTCACGACATGAAGGAGCATTTGGCAGTCCAATTACTGTGTATCAATGTGCATACCACGGGTTGACAACGTTGGTTCCAGCAGATGTTGGTTGGTTGTCAAAGGCAACTGTCATAGCTAGCGTTGGCTTGTTCTTGGCAAGCAACACACCGCGAACCTCAGGTTTTGGTTGGTTTTGCCTTTAATTGGTGAAGCACGTGAAGGCTTTCCAGGAACTGAACTTCTTGTTTCCTGCCAGACACTCTTTCTGAAACGTTTGCTCCGAGGAGCGGCATTTACCTGAACAACTGCAAGGACGGCATGCACGGGCCATTGGAGGCCCAAAGAGAACGTCTGAACGAGTGTAGTCTGAGGCTGACTCTCAAGGGCTTTCCCTTAAATGATGACAGACATGGCCATCAAGTGATTTGGTGTGTCTGCACCAACTACCAACAATATATGAGCCACGGTCAAAACATGCGAAGACCACTTTAGTAAAGAGGGGTAGGTTTGTGCACAAAACCCTGCAAAACGATAAGGTCCACCTCAAAACCGATAACCCCAGCGCTGTATATGGTCATAAGTATGCAAGAACTCAAAACGCTGTAAAACGATAAGGTCCACCTCAAAACCGATGACGTCCATTTTTTAGCTGAAGAAGAATAAGGAGTTTTGACCGTCCCTCATATGTGTCATGGAGTCATGAGCAAATGGGGTTCTCTCACAAGCTTCAGCGATGGGCGGCAAACGATCTGACTTCATCAAGTCTAGATGGCTAGTCCAAAAAGAGAGACGGGCATTGTTACCAGTAGCTTCTTGTTACTAGTAGCGATGCCCGGAGCCCCTAGTAGCATAGCTGCCCTTTGCTCCTAGTAGCTTTAATCCGAGATGACCAGATTGGCCTGTCCAAAAAGAGGTGCAGAGCCAGTTCTCGAGCGTCGATTTTCAGGTCTTCTCTCGCTCAGCCATCATGCAGCTGGCCAACACCTCGGAGTACTGCGCTGAGAAGTTGGATGGGGGCAAGCCATGCCAAAAGGCGTGTGGGGAAAGGGTTGTGGGTCATTGTGTGCTGCCAGTCCACTTGCGTCAGGTGGGAAGATCCTTGCTGACTCAGGTGATTGTTTGCTGTTTTAAAGAGGTTGGGTTTCAGAATAGCATTGGTTGATATATTCCACCCACTCAAGCCCTTTGCACCTCCTGGATGACTGGTTCTATTTGTGGAACCTAATGTGAGATACTGAGTGACTATCGGCACTCTGGCAAATGGAGAGATTGAAAGTCCAGCAAGCGTTTGGGACTGTGGACGCAAGTTGAAGTCACAATACATTTTGGGTGGCACAAATTGAAACTCACTAGGATTCTATGGATTCTAGAGCTTCCATAATTCCTAGAAGGTATATATGATATAGATGACCCAGTGATAGTGTGTTGTTTCTTTTAAACGATAAAGCAATGACTTCACTCAATCATGTGTTGTCCTGATCCTGGTTCCCCTCATCGACCCGTCTAGGTTGGATGAACATCCCCCTACAAGATCGTGGTAGAAACAACTTTGTTAAGAATCTGTGCGAGCCTTCTACTGTCTCTGAGCAAGTAGAATTGTATATTGAAATATAATGAAATATCCACTCAAGTAAAGAGTTAAACGCCATCACATGACCTCAGTGTGACCAACCTGCTTGGGAGCGCTTACTTTTGTTCGATCAAAAGCTGATCTGACTGCTGCTCGAGTGACCGATCGAGACTTTGTTCTGCTCGATGCTAGGACTGCGACAAATTCTGGGACATTACCTATCGAGGGCATTGCAATGGGCCTTGCACGAAATGGTGGGGCGAGGACCCGGAACGTGTGAGTCTCGTGGATATGCTCTTCCAGCAAAGCAATTCAGTGAGTAAGGGTATATCCAGATGAAGCAGCTACAGCTAGCTAGGCAAAATGACAGTGGCAGAAGCTAGGACATACCCAAGCTGAAGGCCTTGAGCTTTGTATACAGGAAAAAAACACTAAGGTTTCTTGGAGATATCAAGATCTTGTGGTGCCTTCTCTTTCATGCGATAATGACCGCTGATGGCCCGTCCAGCCTGCCCTCCAACTGAGTTGCTGGTAAAATGCCAATGCAAGATTCCAAGACGATCCTAATTAGAATACGGTAGTCGGGGTGATTTTGGTGCCACCTTCAATATATGCCGTCTATATAATTCACGGCAGGACATTTGGTGCGACCAATGCCTCTACCAGTTCACAGAGGCGCCTTTGTGATTGAGGAAAGTCCGTTCTTTCATGGCATGCCACCTAGCCAGATGAACGAATCAGTAAAGGGCTGCTGCTATCAAGGCTTTGACACCAAACTGTTTTGGACGGCAGTAGAAATTGGAAGAGTCTTTGTGCCCAAAAACCGAGTATGCTGCCAAGTGTATCACTACTTTAGCATCGATAAAGGACGTAAGTCTTGTTGCAAAGGCTCCAGGAGCCACAACACTCGATTGGTAACACCGATTACTCAAGACCTGCTTTTCCACACCTGATCCGGTGAGACCTTTTTCCCCGGCAGCGCCAATCGAAACGCTGGCACGTCTACAAAACGCCTCAGCTGGCTCGGCCATCTCGGCGCACTTGCGCCTTGAATCAAGGCAAAACGTATTTTTGAACCGACGCTACTTCAAGAAGAGCATTGCGACCCCGAACCAGGCGGGAATGGCCACCAAGGCATGCTCCTCTAGACTCCAGACTGGATCCAAATCTGTCCAGCTCGGTATAGCGAGTGCCCCTGGCAGAGTTGCAGTAATTTGAGATGGGTAGCTTTGATTTGGTTCCATCACTAGATTGTGTGTTCTTGTTCTACGATCCCAAGTGCCTCGAGTGTCTCCTGTTGCTGCCCCACGGGTGGCTGTGTATACTTTGTAGTTATACTGTGTCAACAGGTTGTGTCTCACTGTTTCACGCAACTACTGCAGGTTTCAATAAATGGCCAAGTACAAAGAGCTTGTTTTGTGAAACACTATGCACTGCGCAGGCTGGAGGGACTGCCAGAATCCCAAGATCGTGGCTTACCATCCCTTCAAGAAACCAGAGGCGCTGAGGGTGAGTCCGCCAAGATGTTGAGATGGCCAGTCAGAAGAGGTGAAGCCAGGCATGTTTGTCTCCACAGATTGAAGGTCTTTCATCAACAGTTGGATCAGCTTGCACTTATTCAGGCAGCTTCTTCCATTTTAGATGTTCTATTCCAAGGGCAAATCTTGAACAGGTTAGCAGCAGGATCGCTGCTACCAGTATCCTGGAACTCTGTCTTTGATTCCTAACAACTGTCAGCTGCTCTTCCCAGCAGTGATTTGGACCCCTGTGATACCTGTTTTGAGTTCGGATGACGGCACAAAGATGCTTTGGTTTCTCTTACGGTTGCATCCGACATGAGTTTGGTGAGTTTCCTGATCCTAACAATCCCGATGATTGGTGGTCCGCCACCCAAATTTTCACCGGTGGTACAGGGAGGACAAAAAGCTCACCTTGTTAAGAAGCAAACCTTTTTGGGAGCACTGAATCCCTGGTTCCTGGGAACTTAGGAAGAGCTTGCTAGGTGGGACCTGAATTTCTGCCACACATCTAGGGCTATGATTACGAATTAGGCGAAGGTAGAACTTGAAGCGATTTAGTATATTGGAGTGTCTATCTTCTTTGCGCCCAGCCACTTTGCCATTGATTGTTGGAGGCAATGCACCCTCAGGGGTACCCAATATTGGATTGCACTTGACATGCGAAGCGGACATGCTTGATTCGACCCGCTCAAGCCCGCTTCAGGACTACCGAGTTTGCCTCGAACGCGCCTCCGGGCTCAAATTTGACACCTAGGAGAGGGGGATGAAGATGATCCGTAAGGAATCAAAGATTTACGAGAGCCAAGCACACATGATTTGCTGCATTTGCCGCTGGATTTTGTATGACACTGATTCTCTTTTGATCCACAGTCCCCGGCCTTACGATCTCTGAAGTTGAAACGCAGTGTTTGCGTTCTGGGAAACAGCTACAAAAATATGGGTCCTGGGTCCAGTCTGTGTCGACTTCGTGCCAGCTTGGAAGTTCAAAAACTGTGGTATATCAGGTAATCATGGTAAATAATCTATACTATCCTGTATATGATATATGTTTACTGTATATTGATGTATATTGTATATAAATCTGTAAAGATTGCAAAGGTGAAAGCCTGTTCCCACTGCGAAGGTGTACTGTACCACTGTAGCCTATCCCGGGAACATCCTCATCCCCCCGAAGCCTTACCGAGCACATCTTTTTAAGCCGACCTTATCGGCTGCTGGATGACGTTCGAAAAGCTTCTCGGATCCAGGTTCTGTCCGCCCAAGGCGGTCGAACATGGAAGAATTTCAGTCTGCGAACTGAAAGATGATAGCCGTTATAACCGGATGCTCCAAAGACAATTCTTCAGAAAAAAACAGCCCTTAAAGAATCTTAATGACCGCGAAAGGTGAGAGAGGAAGACCGTTTGTTTTGATTTGGTATGTTTTGGTTGCCTTTTTGCTGGATGCTTTAGCAGGCATCATTCTTTTGGGGACATCTTGAGACTTTTTGAGGGTTCGTCAGGTGCTGCTGCCCACTTTTCTGTTGGCAAACAGCAAATCAAAGATTTTGCTGGACCCCGTTCTCATCCATTCCCGGCTGTAGATCAACCTGTGTGGAGCCCTATGTATCAGTTCAGCAGACTAGGATTCGTCGCTGCCTTCGCTTTTCGATGACAGCACAAAATGCACGCGTTTGTGAGTCCAAGTGACCAGACGAAGCTGGATTTGTACTGCAAAGGGCGAAGAAGTGACTTGGATTTTTGGACTAGGAGCAAGGACGCTACTAGGGGCTCCTGGCCTTACTACTAGGAACAAGAAGCTACTAGGAGCTGTTTCCGAAACGTTGGCCCTTTGGAACAAGAAGTTTTCAGGCCATCCAAGGCCCCCCAGGTCCTCAGGCTGGATTCGTGACTAGTTCGGGCAACTGATGCCAATAAATAAGCTGATTTCCTGATTGCCCTACTCTGTGGAATCTTAGACCCTTAACAAAGTCTTAGCCCGCCCCTGTGAGTTTGATTTATCGCAAAACCAATTCCATAACACACGGAGCTTCTCATCGAAGCTCAGCTGAGCAAATTCCCAAACTAATTACATAATAATTATGAATTGAGTGCCCTAACATGCCCTAACATAAGTCAGCTCTGACGGATTTATCGATGTGCTATGCCATATGCAGTCGGGCTCCCTAGGCCTAGGCATTGCAGTCCAACCAATCACGATCGCCGATCGCTGTCAATATTGAAAAGATCAGCAAAAACGCGGCTAGCCACGCGCTGAGATTGGGCCGGTGAGAAAGGACAAGACCAAGAGAGCTCAAGAAGACATTGCAACAATTGAGCAGCTTCAAAAACCTCTATGATGGAAAGTGTGCAAACTGTAATCTCACATTCTTTCGCGAAAGCCAAAACGCAGGTCGCGAAAGGTTCGCGAAAGCCCCGCGAAAGAACCCCAGAAGAACAGCGTCGCGAAAGCTTTCGCGAAAGTCGAATTTCTTGTGCATGTCGTGTTGTTTATGTGGGTGACCATATTTTTATGCAGGCAGCCGCAGCAGGCCAGCCAGCCAGCCAGCCAGCCGCAGCACACCAGCCAGCAGCAGCAGCAGCGCTGAAGAGCAAGTGTTTCAGGGGAAAATCGAAAAGCCCAGACGAATTTCCGCGAAACCCGCGCGAAAGCCTCGCGAAAGAACCGCGAAAGTCGAAAATATCCGGGAAAGGTATCTGGCCCCAGCAAAAAGTTTCAGCAAGTTTTCCTCCTCTTCTGATGACAACAATAATACTTGAACGGTGCTGCTACAACTCCTTGTGCCAGGATGTTGCCGGAAAGAAATTTGTTCAGTTTTGACCACCCTAAGGACACTTATATCGGATAACTTATATAGATCAATCACTTTATTGTACCATATCCCAATCGAATTTCCCAATCGAAAACGAATCGCCGCGAAAGCCGCCGCGAAAGCCCCACATAACACCACACCTTCCGCGAAAGCCAGAATGCAGGCCGCGAAAGCTCCGCGAAAGCTGTGCGAAAGCAAACCTGGATTATACAAAAAAGTAATAGGGGTTTTCGAAGCTGCTCAATTGCAGCATATGAACGCGAAAGTGAACATGCATTCCTGCTGGGGCGCACAGGTGATCAAGTGCCATCTAGTACCCCTGTGGATGCGCGTGGCACTCTTCGGCACAAGTGTCAGGTGTCAGGGGGTCTTCAAAGTCTTGATTCAGACCCCCCTGGAAAAATAAACAAAAACACTGCATGGTGGCTTCATTTCACTTTCTCTTCTCTGTGGCCCCACTGGCTTCGCTCACAGAGAGCCTTTGATGCTGCTGCCAGGGCTCTTCCATTTGGGTAGTTGGCAAAGTTCTCCTGCATACGTCAACACAGAGAGGAAGTCACCACTCCTGGATTTTGAGCTGTAGAGGGTTCGCAGCGTGTCTCCCGCACATGCTTCGAGAGCTTGCCAAGAAGTTCTGTTTCAAGACAGCTGGGAGTCACCAATCTTGGGTGAGCGGTAAAGGCTTCCGTCTCGTCTCCCTGTATGCACTTGAGGGCGTTGCTGAAGTTGTGCTTCAAGACAGCTGGGTCACCATTCTTGCACATTCCACCACAAAAAGTTATTCTTCTGGCCTTCATGCATGTTCTGCCATGAGGTCGCTTGGAGGCTGCAACGATCAGAGTTTTCACTACCCATGCATGCAGCTCCTAATTGGCTTTCCAGCTTCTACTTCGGGGAGTTGGAGCTTTGCTTCAACAAAGCTTGCAGAGTACTATACAAGCCAGCCAATCAGGTCTACCGACGGTCGAAACACTTGTGGTTTCCGGCCCTCTACACGGCCATCAAGCTACGAATCACTACTGATCGCTTGTGTTCCTTGGGGGCTTTACACAAGCCACTGCAAGTTTAACCGTGTTGAACGTTGTGCTTCGTGCGGCCGTTCCCACTATTGTTGAAACGTTGTACTTTTGTTCCGTGTGTACAGACGATTTACGTTGATTTAAGGACTCAAGTTTTTGTCTTTCACAAATGGACATTTGACCATGCGGCATCTAGTGTATCCCAGCTTCACAAGCTGATTCACAACAACTCCCACCTCCGAAGACGTCTCAGTTTGGAAGGTTCTTCGACGGAGATGGTACTCCTCCAGAGTCGATGGATAAATCCAATTAGAACCCCTGCATTTTCCAGACATGGACAGTGGCTCTAGCTCAGCACTGGGTTCTCACAGGTGTCACAGATAGCTTCCCCAGCTTCGGTCCTTGAGCTCGCAGGATTCGCATATTGCTTGCGATCACAGCTGAAATAGCTGAAGTTCGGGCTGGATGTTGCAGGATCGGATAAAGTTCAGACAATAACAAATCTGCATGTTTGGACACTGTCGGGGAAGGGAAGGCCACGGCCTGAGGCTACCAACTTGGTGCATACATGTTTTTTGTGCCTGTGGATGTAAACATGTCCTTTTTGCAACTAGAACTGGGTCGAAATATTAGGAATATTTAGGAATAAATTATATAGTATAGGTATATTAAATTATATATATATATATCCAGGTGGTAGAATAGCGCAGTCTCCCAGCAAAGCTGGTTTTTGTGGGTGGGGAGTTGGGTGGGGTTCTTTGGGTTCCAGCATGTGTCATCCAGCCTGGGTCGAACGCTATAATCCGCACCCCCGAACGGAATGAACGATCAATCGACGATGTGCCCAAACGCTGGCACTTCCGAAGGCGGACGTTCCTGCTATTTAAATCGAGTGCAGGAGGCCAAGTGGCACTGCCCAACACCAGGGCACATGCGAAAAGCATGTCGAGCATGTCATCCGGAGAGACCTTGAGGAGCATGAAGGAAGATGCTGCTGCAAATCCAGTGGATTGTATAATATTCTCTCTTGACCAAAGCTTTATTTCCGTCCATTACACTGCAATAGGTATGTCTCCATGCCCACAGGAACATACACTAAGGGAAAATGTGGTGCTGATAGTCGATGAATCAGTATTCCTGCACCCATACTTGATTGATCCAGAATCAATGAAGCAAACAAAGAACTCTGATGAGTTTTGCTGTCATGTTGATATTTTTTTAAGCCTCCGCCATCCAACGTAATAGATATGAAACCACATCTCATGTATTGAACCTCGCCTGCGGTTGAACCTCCTCTCAATCTTGAAGTGCTTATTTGCAGTGTACCCTCACCCGGGGTGCACGTGCCATGCTCTTGGCGGACGACCCATGGTGCAGCGTGCCCGAACCGCGGAGACACCGGGCTCACGAGAACGAATGCCTCGAATGGCCGGGTCTGGAGCTCGGAGCTAACTGAGTGCTAGCAGTGGAGCAGTGAATCCATGACAACCAACAGGAGCAAAGGGCATCGCTACTAGGAACAAGAACGAGGGGCTGGCCGTACTACTAGGAGCAAGAAGCTACTAGGAGCAAAGGGCATTGCTGCTAGGAACAAAAACGCTACTAGAATTTATAATATGCCATAGACTCATAGACAATGTCATGATGAGTTACAGTTGGTGATGAAGTGGATAGTTCTTCCTGCTGAAGAGGTTAGTTCACAGCAAGAGAGAAGGTAGTTTGGGAAGTTACACTGTCGCATGTCAAATCTGTTTGGTCAGCAGGCAAGCACTATGAGCACCCATGTAGCACCTTAGGAGACCAGCATCTCTGATATTCTGTGGTGCTTGAGACCAATTATATATATAGACATGGACTTCAGAAGTCAGTGCACCTTTGCTGGTTATATATATATAGACATGGACTTCAGAAGTCAGTGCACCTTTGCTGGATAGAGGAAAACAGGTTGGCCACGG